TCGGTTTCCGCGTTTTTATCGAATTTATTGTTTTAAGAAAAGAGTGATTCGCGCAGCAAATTTTTTTTTTTTATAAAAATAAAACGAAAAACGCGATAAAATGATAAACAAAGTAAATTATTGAAGATTATTATAAAATTACTTTCCATTAAATAACATCATCTTTAAAGTATCTATCAAGTATTTCTCTTAACTTCTCCTACGTTTCTAACTACGAGAAAAAGAAAAAAAAAAAAAGAGGAAAAGGAAAAAAAAAAGCTTCAAATCCCAATACATCTCCCCAAACAGATCAGTATCAGTCCAATATCAATTCAGCACCAATTCAATACCAGTTCGGTATTGGACCTAGCTCAATTCTGTTCCAATTCAAACTCGGTTCCATCCCAGTTCCGATTCCGTTCTAGATCAAACTGTGTTTCAACCTAAGTCAATTCTAAGCCCCATATCACGCGATATCTGTATTCAACCCAACTGTCTGAACCACTTATCTTCACAACTATCTCTCTCTCTCTCTTTCCTCCCCTTCCAAAACTAATTCCAAATATGTTCCTCATAATTATCATTTATCTTCAAAAAAAGAAAAAGAAAATTATCATTTTCAATATCGTTATATATCGTCCCAACAATGGAAACAGCAATAAATTCTTCTCTCCTCCTTCTCCTTTCCTCTTTCTCACAGTTAGCTTTATATCTCCTTAAAGAAAATATAATAATAAAATTATCAACAATTTCGTTGCGTAAACAAGAAAAAATAAAGAAGGAAAAAAGAAGAGCATCGATGATACGTGAGTTGTTGGATCGTTTTCCCTGTTCAAATGCATTGAGGAACGCGGAGAGAAAAAGAGGGAGGGGACGATCCATGGAGATCGAATGATTTCACGGCGAGGTTACACGTGCGATTTGGCGGCCGGCCAAGGAACTTCCTCGATAAAATCCGTACGTATCCTGCCGGAAGCGTCGAGCCGTGGAATACATGAACAAGGAGGGCAAAGCTCGAGAAGGAGGAGGGGAGGAAAAGAAAAAGAAAGAGAAAGAGGGAAATACTCAAATTAAGCAACCCTTTGCTTTCGTTTCGCCACTTTGGGGCGAAAAAACACCGATACGAATCGATGTGTAACCGATGAAACCGAAGAATGAGAGTTCTTTTTGCCATGTTTCTCGGATTCTGGTCTTCGATCAAACGGCTAGAAACTGAAAACGTATTGTATTCGTACGAACGATGCAGCTCTCGATTTAATACAAGTCCTTTTGTAAAAAGATGTCTCTAACAAAGTTTTAATATTTCGTTATTGCTTGTGTATATCTTTATTCTTAAGTCCATTTAAAAATTATCGTTCCTCGCATTGAACCTCTTCAACGATTTGCGAATAAGGAAAATTGTTATTGGTGCGTTTGGAAGAAAGTGAAAGTGCTTGTTGAGAACGATACTGCAATTGGGATAATTCCAAGTAGGGTTTAGCAGTTTCTAATAATATTTATGGTAAAATAAGGAAAAATTAATACGAAGTTCAGTTAGAAATTAGGTTGGTTAATATCTATAATAGTTGGAATGTTTGTACAAACATTCACATACTCGAGAGAATATTGAATTATCGTATCGATAAGATGATTCGTATAGATGAAATTCGTACGAAAATATTTTTTCAAATTTTATTGTAAACACGTTCTCGTAGAATCACGTTATTCAGAATCAGTATAGTATAGAATTTAGCACGATTCTACCATAAAGTCTTCGATGTATGAATAATTCTTGTAGCAAAGTTATTCATCCGTAACGATGAATTTAACAAGCGAATCGACAAGCGATAGATAATAATAATAATGATAATAATTAAACGACGAATAACTCGATGATGATGGCTTTACGTAAATTTACATAATTAGAATTTTTGATTTAAAGATATCTCGTATATATCGTAAATCAATCTGAAGTAATCTTTCGCATCAGAGAAACGTTCAAAGGAAGGATTTGCACAAGTGATCAAGCAATGTCAAAGATATTACTTTGACTCTTTTGTGGAGCATGATTTTTTTTTGTGAGTTGGTTGAAAAAAAGAGGCGACACAATGGTCTTTATGCTGTACGATTTCGTTCGTTTGGCACAAGTATTTGGAAGGACTCGATGCTGGACAAAGAACGGAGTGACTATGTTGAACGAAAGAATTTCAGTATTATTGGCTTGGTGTATTGCCCCTACTTTTCAAATGTAATACATTCATTATAAATTATAATTCTACTTTTTTTTTTCATTACTCTTCTACTGCCATCAATGAAATGATTAATCAATTTTCATATTTTAAAATTAAAAAAATATTTCATCCTATTAATAATATATGTATATATGTATATAAATATATTTTCTACTTATTGATTATTCATCGATTGAGAAATTTATTCGTTAATTAACGTATAATAATATCAATTACTTATTCAATTTATTCAAGCTACGTCTTCCCAGAATTTTAATTAATCCCTTAATTATACACGTATACAATAAAAGCACGAGATTGTATTTTCTATTGTGATTCATTTTTACAAAGATGGAGTCGTGAAGGAAAAAAGAAATGGAAAGAGAAGGAAACGTAGCGATAAGGTTAGGGGTTTCTATCGGCCTCCAGCAGCAACGATGGTTGTAGGCCGGCGGAAACTACTTGCTCTTGTCGCTAACGATCGTCGGCCCGAAAGATCCACACTTCGTGATTCAGACTTCGTTGAATATTTTAACATACGTAATATTCACGTAATTAAGAAGGACTTGTTACGTTTTTTTTTTTTATATATATATATAGTTACATACACCTTTGTTAGTCGCATTAATTATTAAAAAAAAAAATAGTAATAATTATAGGTACGTATACATGTACAACAAACAATAACGTTATCGTATAATTGTATATCATTCTTTCTGTATTCAATTGTAATAGTGTAATAGCGAATTGAATAAAAATTTTTCTTTTGAAAAATGGTTCTTTTGAAAAGTTTTAAAAAAATTTGCGCGCATTTAAAAATAAGATACATTTTTATACAAGATGTAATTTATCTTAAGGATGATTTAGTTTGGATTTATATAAGGAGTACGAGTACGTATAATTTATCACAGCGTTGGAGGGTAGTGAAACAGATCCACCGGAAGAAATATTTCGACCCGTGACAAATTAATAAGATTAAAATCCTTTGTATTTTAAATAAAAAATATATAGTTGAGAGAAAGGAGTACAGTTTTTTTATAGAATATATAACATCGTGACATCGTTAATTAATATTTCGTATAAAGAAACGTATAATAAAATGTTATAACGAAGAAACGATTACCTTTCTGAATGTGTGAACGATATCGATGGGAAATCTTCATCTGTCATAATTTCCTATTGGTCGAAATTTACGAGAAAAGTTGTTCAACCCGAAAAAATCCGATTTCAAAGAAACTTTGAATGTATTTAGAGCATAATGAAGTACGAAAGAACGATTTTTTTCCCGATAAAAAATCACTTCGAGCGAGAAAAGTAAAATCAACCCCTAAATTTTTCATTCGCGTCCCTTTCTCGTTTTTTTTTTTTACACGAAATAAAAAAAATTTTAAACGTAAAATATACTTAATTTTTCGTTCAAATTTCTTTCAACGAACAATTATCTTTATTACTTTTTTTAGAAATATTTTATCTTTATTGTAAAATAAATATATCACAATTCAAGTAATTCTGATTCATTACCTCGTTTTGATTTAAAATACTGTAAACGTAGCACAATCGATCCTTATATATCAACAATCGTTCCTCGAATTATGCAAATACATCAGTTCTATTGATATTTACGATTTGCATAATTCATAAATACGAATGGAACGGCTCGATATGCTATCACGGCATATAAGAGAACTCGTTTGTGAAATACTTTGGAAATGGAATTTCGACCGTTAAGACGCACGAAACCACAAAGCAGTTAAAACGAAAACGTTGATAAATTCGTCCAACGATAAAGGCGTTTTATGCGTTTTATTTTAAAACAATAAAACGCGTTTTATCTCGAATATATCCACAGCGCGTAAAAATACGGGTTTGTCTTTGTGACAAGTGAGACAATGTTCTAATTCGAGCCATTGACCCGCTGTTCGCGATGCTCTTTTTCTTACGTTCAAACCGAAATAAAGCTTGGCCAGGCGTATTCGTCACGTTAGGTGGATCCTTTTCGCGAGCGAGCAATTCTTTGTGGAAAAGTGACGAGGAACGTTTTTTTAAAAAAAAAGAAAAGATCTTGTTTTAGAGATCGCAACGATCGTGATCGTTTACGATTATTATCACGATAATTGATTTATGAGATATGAAAGTTTGAAATAAAATGAAACGAGATTTTATTTTATTTTTATTTCGAGTAAATAATCTGAACATGAATGTTCAAAGTTTATTAACCATCTCGCTATGGGAAAAAATGAGATCAAATTAATTAGGGAGACTTGATTTTATTTTTTATTTCAATAAGTAATTTAGAAATAAATTTATAATATTGATCTCCTATATATAATAAGAGTGAAAGTTTTTATTAGCATCTCTTTTGAAGATTAAAATTTAAAAAAAAATTGTGTAAAATTATTACTTCTTTTCATGATATAATAATTGTACGGTATTGCGATTAATTTTAGATTAAATATAAAATTGGTCTTAAAACTGGATTTAAGTGGAAGAACTTTTTCTCAATATAGTCACAGCAAGTGTCATTTATCTTGACAAAATATATCTACTCGTCGTTACGTAAACATCGTAAAATTCGATCGCGACAAGAACCAAGACCAAGAAGCTGGATTCTCAGTTTCAACAAAAATCTTAATTCTTTCGACAAAGAGCTTTGTCAACTCGAAAGAATATCGAACAAGAGTTATAAATTTAGGGTCTAGGAGATATTCCAAGATACACCCCCAAGTACGTGTCATAATTCTGCTGACGAATTCGAGTTTTGTTAACGTTTTTAACATGCTTGCTTGCGTTATTTCCCTCGATTTTATTATTTTCTTTTTTTTTTCAGATTCCCTTCTCTTTCGTAAAAAAAGAAATTTTTATCGTGCCTCGATAATTCAATAATTTTATCGTTCAAATATAAGTAGAATACACCTTTTGATTGAATTTATCTTAATTCCAAATGTGAAGGAGATGAATCGATGAATTTCGATCTTATGCTAAGCATTTCACTTCGGGAATTTGCATCTATTAAATTGTGTACAATAGCTATTATCGTGTATCGACGTCAGCAATAACTCGAGACGTTATCGAGAATTTATCTTTAGAAAGTCAGAATTGCAAGATGATTAAGTTTGGGCAAAACACGTAAACAAAGTAATTATTCGTATATAATTCATCGCGTATGAAATTCAAAATTATCACACGTGAATGAAATTTTTTTATAATCTTCATCTTCAATTTCAATTTTGAAGCAAAATGATTCGCTAGAAACAAATCAATTTTTGCTCTAATTAAGTTACTTTCAAGCACATCGTTAAACGCGCGTATGTAATATGTAATAAACAAGATTATATCTTATCTATTATTTCTTAAAATTATTATCGATCATATCACATATTATTGAAACATTTGCGCTCATATTTGTATTTTAGCTCGTAAAATTTATATATTATATTTTATAAATTTACGTATGAAACATGATTTTATAAAAATTCGTTCAAATTGATTAAAGTGTATAATTTATAATTTTATAAAATATATTCATAATGTTAGTATCGAATTATTATTGTAAAATGAAATATCCCAAGCTGTTTTCTCTGGAAATATTACAGTTTCTCTTTCAAATTAAATGGAGAAAGTTTTTCTAGAACGACTACTTTTTATTTGAACAGCTATTATCAAACTTAATAACATTTATTTGAAATATTCCTTTTGGTTTCCCATATCATAAAATTATAATGAAAAAATAGTTTTAAAAGATTTTATTATAATATTATAGATTTAATTATAATATTATATTTGTAAAAGCGTAGAAAAATGTTGGAATAATATTTTAGAGTGGAAATTATTTTATTGAATTTTCGAAATAACATTTCTTAAAATACTTTGTCCAAATATGTTTTAAATATTTTTTTTATCTTATCTACGTCATTACGATTATTTTTTATTTATAAAATATTTATCACTACGTATCGATCTAAAAATAGAATCTAAAAATAGAAAGAAATATGTGAATGAAATAAATTTTGATAAAATAAATTTTTTTTTTTAAAGATTATTTCTCTGATTAATATCCTCTGATTAAATGAAGAAACTCGCGTTTTTATGTTAAAAGAAGTTTCTTTTTATGTCGAGTATCTTTGGCTGGTGGCCAGATACCAGATTCCCTAGAATTAAATAGAAAAAACGTAATGTCTCCATATAATTTATACTTTTACTTAAAGCAATGTTTTTTTGTAAAAAAATTTTGAAAGAATGAAATTGAAAACGATTTTTTATCCTTTATAAAAGCAAATATAATATTATTGGACAAATATCGCGATTCTCTCTTTCACAGAAAAGTTAAAAAAAAAAAAAAATATCAAATAATTTCTATCCAACTCTAACGTTGTAATAAATACATTGAATTAAAATTTTCAAAGCTTTTAATCAAAGACGAAATAGAAACTTTAAATATAACTTTACAGCCATTATTTGCAATAGTTATCGTTTAAATTTTATTCCTCTCGAAATCAATTCTCCGATCGCGTTAAAAATAAAAAACGAAACTTTCATCGCAACATTTCGAAATTCTGTCACTTCGAAAATTTCTATCGAATAGAATTCATCTATTCGCGAGGCAAATACCTTTGACGAAATTCAACGTATAAACTGTGCATCGGTAGGTGGTGGCCTACTAATAGTACAGTGGACTTTAATGGGTCAAATTGATGAAATTTTGATCGACGTTTGACAGAGAGTACGTATACTCGCGTGTACACGTTTATCTACGCAAAAATATCCTTTCTCGAGTCACCGCACGGATATTGCTTTACATACGCGTAACATTTACGAAAGCAATATAAAACAAATTAAGAAATTAAATAATATAAAACAAATTAAAAGAAATTACAATTTATAATACGATAAAAAATAGAACAAAAATCTTGAATCACTTTTGAATATGCATGATATACAATGATGTGCGAAGGTGTGCGCGCGATATCAGTCTTGAATCAGTACTGAAAGATTTATAGCTCGAGTAACCTTTGATTTGTCTGAACATCAGATATGGAGAGATAAAGAAAGTTTTTTATCGTTTGAAAAATTTATATAAACTAATTCTAAAATTTGAAATATGCGAATCAGAAAAATTCTTTTGATTGATAAAATTTTATTTCAATCCATCTTTCAATAATCGTAGTCAGGAGCTGAATCAATCAATTTTACTTTTTAAAAAATTCTTTTGCGGTGAAATGATATATGATTTTCAATTTTTTTTTTTTTTTTAATAAAGAAAATACAAATGGAATTGATCGATTTGATCTTCGTATGATCGATTAGAATTTTGTAACGAGAGACAAATAAGAATAAATTTTTCCATCCAGTCTCAGTACGCAGAATGCAAGGACAACCGCGAATCACCACGCAGAAGCAGCAAGGATGTCGAGTCCGAAAACATGTCATCCTCGGGGCAAACCACGAAGATCGCTATCGACACTAGCACGGAATCATCCACGGAATGGAATACGAGGAATAGTTCCTTGAGGAAAATAGAGAACATCCCGATCCGTGACACGGGCTCTGTCCTCGAGAAAATCGGCGAATTTCATAAGGTAAAATTGATATCAACAATTAATTCCTTTCACTTTAATTCTAGCAACAAGCACCCTCTTTTAAGTAAAAATATCTGTATTGAATATTTTCAACGATAGAAACTTGAATAAAAAAAACACACAATTTTGTTAACATTTAATTTTACAAATTTCAACAAAAATAATTGAATATACTGTCTTCTATTGTCGAGATACACTTATGATTCTTTTAGAGCGTTCTTTTATTACCAGCTATCGGGTCGTTCGTTTCCTTTATTTTTGCTTTATTGTTAAGAAAGAAGCAATAAGAAAGGAGTTAAAATTTTACGACCACTCCTTGTCAATCGCAGTGTATAATACAATTGTAATATCCAGTAAAAAAAAGAAAATTTATTAATATTAAACGAACATTCCCTTGAAACGTTCGATACCAGAAATGATTCAGAACGCTGTACGTACACTTATATCGAAGTCCTTAGATTGAATGGCGGAAAAATATTTCGAGATCCTCATGAATTTACGATATTTCCTTATATTCAGCATCAACATGCTCGAGGCAGAGACGCGACAACTGGTTCGCTCCATCGCACTCTGAGCATTCACACCACTGCAATTGAGCAGACTTACATGGCCGAGGAATGTGACGAGAACGACTATCATTTCGATCTCGATTCCTACAAACCGGTACAGCCAATCACGATCGACCATGGGGTCGCCTTATTTCCTGTCGCCGCACCCCACACAGGAATGGATCTGCATCTATTGCAGGTAAACATGCAATTTACAGGTCTCGTTACAGATGCCGTGTAATTTGTCTCTCTGACGTTCTTCCTCCTTTCTTCTCCTCTGCCCCTCTTTTGCGTATCGTGTGATTCGCATGATAAAGTAGTGGCGATAATAATATGTGATTCGATCGCTAATTCAATTTCCGATTTCTATTTCATGGAATGTGTGCGTTTTCTAGAAATATTTCTTTTTTACACTGTAATGCATAATTGTTTCTGCATTTGAATTGCTAGTTTGTGATTATATTTTTTCGTTATATGCAACACGTTTGTATCGTAAAGTATATTTTTTTTTTTTATTGAGAAAATATAAATTTCTCTAGATAAAAGTGATAACAAGTAAATAAAAATTTGTTCGTTATTGTTAATTGTTAATGTATTCGTGTTTTAATTATATATTTATATATCTGCGACACAAACATGGAATTCAGTAGGAAATAAAATTATTATTTAATGGAACTTTGTTTGATTGGAGTAATGTTAATTAATGTAAATTACTACTGGTAAAGGAATATGTAATATCTGGTTAGACGAAATCGCGAACAAAGGATCGTGACCTATTTTCGGATGAAACATGGATTTAATCCACGACCACTTGTTATCTTCGAATTAACAAAAATTAACAAAAAATTTTTATATTAAATGGAATAAAGATTTTGTATGTATTTATATAATAGAGGATCAGAATAATAATATATTAAAATTTTCATATTCCTGGTCGATACGAGGATATTCAAAAATATTAAAGTTCACAAAAGAAAATTTCTAACTAGGATATCCATTAAATAAAACACGATTCATTAGAATGGGAACGATTCTAAAATTCCGGCCATTTATGCGCGTCACATGTGTATACGGATGCAACCATCGTGTATATAAATCTTGAAAAGAAGAGCACACAACCGAGACACGACCTTACCCTCTTACAGACGATTTCGAAATATTAATATTCCAACGTCCAGCTACTTTGTAGTTACTGGACGTGGTGCAGGGCCAAAATAAAAGACGTCGTCAGCGCGGTTTTCCTGCGTTTCAAAAGGATTTCAAAGGGACTGACTTTACCGTGCTAGCTCAGGTACACTTCGTGGAAATTCGCGAGAAAGAAAGACAGAGAGAGAGAGAGAGAGAGAGAGAGAGATCGTGCAGCAAGTAAGAAATGAAAAGGATTAAAGAAAGAAGTTAGAGAGCGGAACCGGGTCACTCGTCCGAAACGTCTTTTTCTCAATTATTTACTCGTAGAAATCTCGAAAACAAAGAATCGATAATTTCGTAATGAAAGAGGAAAACTTGTACTCTAAGAAAATAAAGAGAGAATTCAAACGAAGAATCGATATAAAGTTTCATTCTATTAAATTTACCAAAAAAAAAAAAACGACGGAATAATTCAATAATTATCCACTCACTACTTTTCGTATCTCTCTTACATAATAACTTTCTCATCGTATTATTATTTAAATAATACTCTTTGAATTGCGTAAATCAATTTCTAAATTTACTTTACTTTACTCGTCTTCGTCGCGAAAAAGAAAAATATAGTCCAAAAGTCAAGCTTGAATTCCGATGAATAAATTAACACGCGTAATACGATAATTAAACACATCGAAACGAAGGTACGCGTTAAAACGAGTGTCTCTTAACCGTCATCTCTCGTAGCCATCTTTATTCCGAATAAGAGCGAAAGCGCCACCTGTGAAACTCCATTAGGAGGAAGCAGGCGAACGATTTCCCATACGGCCGACATCGCATAACATTCATCGTTGAGTGTTTCACCACTCTGCTAGGAGCCGATTAATCTATCCATACCTACGGCAAAGATAAATAATTTCAACGCTTCCCTCCTCGCCACGCTTTTACAAGTGATCGCTTGGATTGCACTTATGGCCGACCACCGTATAAACGTTGGTTGTTCCAAGTGCATTAGAAGTTCCATCAGCCTATTATAAACACAGCCGTGGCCGATGCCGATTTTCCCGCGAGTACGACTCGGTGCGCCGCAACTGCGCCCGATACGATCCCGCTAAAAACGATCTTAATAGCCAGAGATTATACCCGATGGAATTGCGTGGCGAGATTTTCGCGGCTATCTTTTCGTTACGTTCTTCTTCCACGGGTTTTAATGAAATCTCGATGAATAATTTAAGATGCCGGCTTAAGGATTAACTTCTCGTTCGCGAGATATCATTGCCGAGATAAATGCGACGATAAGATGTGAGGAAAAATTGATGAGCTCGTGAGAGAAGGATTTTTAACGATTTCTTGTCTTTTCTTTTTTATAGATAGTTGATACACAGCGTGATATTTTTAATTTTTATTGGAGATATTTCGATTCTTTCCTTCGATGAATTTAATTGAATATGCGTATATGGAAAATTTTTGGATTAGATTAAAGTTAATTAAGTGAAAAAAAAATATGATCTTGTCGAGTTTTTTTTCTTTATCATATTTTTTGTAATAACCGTATGAAATTTTATAGTGAAATTTGAAGTATTTTAAAAATATAAGGGATTTGAAACAGGTGTATATGTAAATAAGTTTGTTTGTTGAAATTGCTTGTCAATTTATATGCATATACACACCCATATTGTGTGTATCTTTTTCATCACTATCAGAGTTATCTTTCGTAAAATTTCTATAAAAATTTTCTTAAAAAGAAAAAGAAAAAAACAAATATTACTTCGAAATAAACGTTTACAAATTTTTCGTTGATTCCACTATTGATTATAATCCAGTAATTTCCAATAAATTTTTTAATAATTTTATATTTTATACATCTATCCAAACGATAATAAAAAAATTTGTTCAGCAATCAAAAATCAAATTTCTCACCTGTTCTACGCATCTATCTTTATCGACACGAAATTGGAATAAAAATATTTAAACAAACATTTGCTCGGAATTATGAATAAATGTGTGTCTAACGATATATCCGGAAAAGATTTATCCATTTATTCTCCCTCTTTGCATCGGAAACAGCGTCCCGATATTTTTCGATTTAAACTTACAATTAGATATTGGGATCGGCCTCTGATTACAATTCCATCGTGCAATACAGGTTAAAGGAAAGCAAGTTAGGAACGGTTTCATGCAAATGTTCATTTAATCTTCAATAAACTCGGTTTCGATCTCGGTTGCCCAAAGGCGTATTCTTTGCTAAAGGTCTTAGCCTCTGGTAACGAACGAACTGAGCGTTTACAAACACGCGTATAAAATAGTGGATGATTTTAAAGGGATGTACACTTTAGAAATGAAATTAACATAAGTTTTGTACAAGTTTAACGATTGTTCAAAAAGAAATATCATATAATCAGTGTCCCTCCAATCAAGATGTACTTCAATCTTCGATATTCTTCGACGTTTAAGTAGCCATGTATTCTTTTTCTTCTATTTCCACTTTTTGATTTAATTGTGCTCAATCAATTGATGCAAATTTTAACTTCTTTATGAATGTGATCGTTCTCGTTTTAAGAGCATCTGAAAGAAACGAAAGAAAAAAAATAATCTGGGTCGATATATTCCTTTTAATTTAACGAAAGAGGGTTTAACTTGGAGAAAGGAATTATTCATAGTGGAAGTATGTATTAGTATGTTCACTATTTTTTTCTTTTTTTTTATCTCTTTTTCTTTACACCAAAGCTCGTGATCCTCGAAACAAGATAGAAACAAGATATCTTAAGAAAGAATGTGATGTACACGCAATTTTTATATGCATGCAGAGTATATAGGTATAAAGTGAAGAGTCTCTTCTGATGTAAAATCATAAAAAAAAAAAATGTGCGTGAAAGGAAAGAATATAGTGGAAGTACATCGGACATCAAGTGCATTTCATGTATTCAAGTATCATAAACTAGCATCGTATAAAAAAGTCAAAGTGCATTTATCAACTCTTTCTCCTATATTCTTCGTATAGAAAGAAGGAAAAAGAAAATTTTTACAAATTAAACCAAGCATTAAATTAAACATAATTATTTCCCTCTTTCCTTTTCAATTTTTTTTTTTTTATATATATTAATCCAATTTATCTAATCACATTTAAATAGATAATTACAGGATAAACAATTGCAAAAATAATACGTAACCCTATCTTCTTTTCTCAATTCTTGAATACGAGTCGGGAGCGATCATCTCGATAATAAAATTAACATTTGGACATTGAAAATTATTCCCGAACACTCGACACTAAAGTGTCCACTCGGCGAAAAATATTCCCCGGTGAGCAACTCTCCAAACTTCTCTCTCTCAAACCTAGGAATGTAATCACAGTTTCTAATAGTTTCGAGAACAACCCTCGAGAGCTCCACTTTAACATGTACACACCGCCTTAAGAATATAATCACAGTTTCTAATACTTTCGAGGACAACGCTCAAAGAGACCTCTATACGTTTAAATATATCTTAAAAATACGTACATAAAACTGTTCCATTCTTTTCACAAATTTCTCTCATCCACATTTCGTGTGTAAAAACCTGTATATATAACATGAGAAAAAAAATTCGGTTAGGTGTTGCATCACGGGACGACGTTGGTGCACTGGGACTGCGAGGGCGGCGCCACGAGGACGGCGTTGGTTTTCGCGCGGGTGGATCGTGCCTGCGGCACCTTCGTCTGGGAGAAACCGCCGTGGAGCCCGTTGAAG